ATTCTTTAGTTCTGGAGCGCTGTGATGAGTCGGAATCAACTCGATGATAGTGAATTTGAGGTTGTTTTAGGTCTGTGTTCCCTTCTGGTTATGATGTCTTTTAACTATGATCACTTGTGTAAGACCGCCCCCATATATGTAAATGTTGCTCGGTGGAACTGGCAGGTTCCTCTTTCAGTGTGAGTGAGATGGAATTCCTCAGTAGCAGGGCCATTCCCGAATGTCACACTGGACTCCATCCTCAGCTCATTCCCTGCTTGCTGACTCTCATTTGACATTGATCTTCAACTATGGCAGGATATACACCCTGGGTATATATTTTGAGGAGCAATTCTCTGAAACCAAGAGCAGAGATTACATATCTGCAATTAACCTTTCAGAATGCAGCCTTACATTAATAACCCACTTCTTGGCATAGAAGCAGCTCTTGGAAAATCTTTTCAGGATTTTCAAATCGATCTGGTAAAAGCAGAGTCCCAAACTGAGCTGCCTTTATAACGGGTTTAATGTCCCACGTTAGATTTTGGGAGATGCCTTGTTTCCCCCTTTATCCTGTATAACTGCAGTGAAAACTTCCTGAAGGTGAGAATCTCACTCATTAGTAAGAAAAATCTCACTTTATCCTAAGTTGGACTCTCTTTGGAGATGTTCCAACTGCTTTGTAAACATTCTTTCATGTCACAAAGTAGGTAGGTGGTAATTATTTGGTCTTTTGGACAAAGAGTAGAATTGAGAGTCTTAGCCATATAGAAATGGAAATGTTGTTTAAATGCCTGAGGAAAAGAAAAAAAAAAAAAAAAGCAAGGCTTTCATAAGAAGAGACAGGGCAGATGTGACCAAAAATAGGACCAAGAATGGTATACAAAATACCACAAGAGGCGAAGTCTCCTACAATCAGCTCACAACAACAGAAGCTGCCACCATGCATGTCTATGGCTGGACCTTCAGCACTGGCAGAGGCCTGGGAAATCAGGCATGGCGAAAGCTAATTTTAGTGCAAATGAGAGATTTTCTCTCTCTCTTTCTCTCTCTCTGATCTTTGCTGGGAAATAGGATCAACATTCCTAACATCATAAAGAAAAAGCTTACACTAAATTAGGATACATGTACTTAAAAACTATTATCACACTGGTTTTAATAAACTAGCATATTATATTATAACTATGTCCTATCTGTGCTGGGGTTTTATTTCACAAAATAATTCTTATTAATTTGAGCTTACTTATGGTGTGGTAAGGTGGGCAGGATTTTACTGCCCTTGTTTTAAGGTGAGGAAACAAAGTTGTTATAGGCTTCCCTCCAATCCGTGTTCTCCTTACACCAGACATTCCCCTACGCTGTCTTCCCTTCTGCTCTCTACCCACTCTCCACCAAGCAATTGACAAGAAGCTTCGATTTCTTTAAAAACCACAGTGGGGACACGATAGGTTCGGAGTTCTGATTCTGAGACTTGGAATTTGAATTCCAACTCTATCCCTTTAAGTCATCCTGGGATAAGACACATTGTGTGTGTGTGTGTGTGTGTGTGTGTGTGTGTGTGTGTGTGTTCCAAATTTGTCTCTGAAATGAAAGTAACGAAGTCTACCTTACACCAGTGTTATGAAGATTCAAATCGTATGTCCTCCGCGCCTAGCCTGGTACTTACCACACTGCAGGTGCTCACAGAATCTTGGCCACTGATATCTACACTTTGCTATAGAAAGCTAGAGAGCACCTAGAACTTGAAGTGGTTTTTGGGGTGCTGAAACTAACAAAGCCACGTACCAATCACAATGACCAGGCCCTACTTTACTTCTAGAAAATCAGGGAAATAAAGCCTGCTATCATTTAACTGCACAGCTGTCCACATAACAGTGTCATTTATTCAGGATTCCACTACCGGGAAAACCACAGATGGGTTGGTCAGATCCTAGAGCAAACATCCAAAAAGCTGTCAAGGACTCTTGTTCCTGTTAAGGGAGACAGTTCCTCCTTATACCCTCCAAAATTTCTGTTATGTAATCCACAAAGTGGGGATAACATTGATTTATGTTATGGGATCATTACAAGGATTGTTGTTGTTGTTGTTTGGTGCCATCAAGTCGTAGACGACTCATAGCGACCCTATGAATGCACGGCCTGAGCACTGTTCGTACATAGAGTTTCTGGAGGTAAGCCATTTCGGAAGTGGATGCCGCTCCTGCTTCCAGGCTTGTTTTACAAGGATTAGATAACCCAAAATGTGTGAAACCAACTGGCTATCATCTACACACAAAGTCATGAATAGCATTATCATCTCCACTTTACAGATGAGAAAATCAGGTCTAGAGTTTAGTAGAATAAAGAGAAAACAGGTTATTACTGGAGTGTCAAGGGACAGGACCCAGAGCCCCTTTCACATCTGTTTCCTGTTGGTGATAGCTGCAGAAATCCATGTATGGAAACCAGAACTGCTCTATGGGGTTGCCAAGGCAGTGATCTTTCATAAGCTTGTCTCTCAAGGTGCTTCTGGATGGGTTTGAACCACCAATCTTCTGGCTAGTGGATCAAGCACTTACCTATTTGATTTATCCTCTGCTTGTTTAGAAGAGGCAGACTGGCTGCCTTCCAGGCCTCCTGCTCTGCAGTGCTCCTGGGATTCCCCTTTGTCACCCTATGGGGATTCCCCTTCACTTCTGGAAGGAGGTGGATCCTGTTTCTGGCCTTTCACACTTCCCTCTTCCCCCCTTGCCCCCCCTCCACCCCCGACCTCTTCACTCTGCATGTTTTAGGGAACTAACACGTAGGAGTAAAATTTTTGAGCCTTGAATGTCTGAAAACAGCATTAATTCTACTGCTTCTATATATAATCTGAGGAAGAGAACTCTCTTCCTCGGAATTTTGAAAGCATTGTCCTATGCCTGAGAGTTTCCTGTCATTGTTGCGAAGTCCAATGGTGTGCTGGTTCGTCATCTTCTATCTCCTTTCTGGAAACTTCTAAGATCTTTTGAAATTTTCACAGTGATGCACTTTTTTTTTTTCTCTTTGTTTTGTTTTGTTTTTTTTTTTTACAGTGATGCACTTTGATGTGAGTCTTTTCTCCTTTTTGTGCTGGACGTTCATTGGCTTTTTCATCTGAGATTTGCCTCAATGGTGATTAATTTTATAAACCATAATAAATGGAAATTATTGTATGAAACACAATGTGAACGAAGGATAGTATGAAACACAATGTATATGAACTATGTATGCTAACCAATATAAAACAAAAATTAAAAACAAACATCTGGGGCTTACATTCCTGTTTAGAAATGTTCTCTTGCATTGTTACATAGGTGATGTCTACCTCCCCTCCATTTTTCCTTTTTTTTTGAAACGCCTGTCAGGTGGATTTAGGGCCTTAAGGATTAATATCAAAGTTTTGTCTACTATCTGATTCCTACTTTTTGGTCCTTTTGTCCTATTTTCTGAGAGATTTCTTTTATTCTAAACCTCTTAATAGAATTTTAAAATGTTCCCTTTTTTTTACTAATTGTCTTCTACCTATCTCTTATCTTTAAAGATAAAATGCATCTTACTCTTCTTGGATGGATACATCTTTTTCCTATTCTCTCAGGAATTAAATATTGGTGGTTTCTTTGGTTTGGTCTCTCCCTGCTCCATCATTATCTTCTCTTCTCTGCATTGTCTCTATTTCATCCAAGCTTTGTTTTGTTTATTTCTGTTTATTTTAGTCTCTTTCATTCTGTCTATTTGTATTTACAAGTGAGGAGATGACCAGTAGCTCTGCAGACTTGGAAGGAGCGTAGCAGCTCATGGGCTTTACCACCAAGGAGCAGGCAGCAAAGCAAAGTTTTCTCACTGGAAGAACCTCTTCTGTCAGCTTGTATACATCTCCCCCAGGAGCAATCCATTTCTCCAGTTAAAAATGTCATTAAGTTAAATTAAGATAATATAAAATCTTCCCACATTTTCTGACTTGGTGGTAGGACCCCAATATTCATGTCTGTCGATATTTAGGGAACAGGGCTAAGAAAGGGGTCTAAGGTTTCATTCAGTATGTAAGTTTTCATGTTCTGGGCAGTAATGAAAGATGACTTTGATCAAAGTGATAAAACTTTAGGGTCAAATTCAATCAGGCAAAAACAAGCATAGCAAGAGTTTCTGAGCTTTAAATGTTTTTAAAGAATGATGAGCTATTTTATCATTCACTATCAGCTTACTGGTAGGAGAAATAAAAAAGAAGCTGCTGTTTGTGACCCACATAGAAACCCTTATTGCGTGCTTGACCCAGCATCTGTGACTGTCAGGAGAAATGGGGGCAAACAGGAAAGAGGTGCCAGGAAAAGCTCTGCTTGTGAAATGAATCAGCTGGGCAGGTTCACAAACTGCCCTTTGAGGGATCCCACTTCTTCCAAATTCTGGTACCACAAGGACAGCAGAGAGCTGCCAATCACAAGAAAGAACTCGATTCACCCGGCATTACTAGGCAACTACCACAGGCAATAAACACCAACTCCATATTCCACTTGTTTAAAAATAAGACTTGCTTCTTTCAGCCCTGCTTTTTTTTTTTTTAAAGTTCTACATTTGGAAGCATAAAAGGCCTTTAAATATTCACGGTAATTTCTGTGCTTTGATTACACGTTACCTTACTGTGTAAGGTGAGCCTGAAACATATTTATTAAATATTTGAAGTCTAAAGGCCTCCTATAATTACCAGAAACGGAGATTATTCTACACAGTGTAGCAACTACTAAATACCAAAGCCAGGATTGCCTTAAATTTATCCATTTTTTTTCACAGCCACACACAGATGAAATGCCAACTTGAAGTCTGAAAGTCTTATTAGAGAGAAAAATCACAATTTAATTTTTTTAACTCAAAAGTGGAAAAATATGTCTAGAAAACATACTTCCTGCAGGTACTATGTGAACTATGAAACAGTTTCTTTCTAGTTTATTAAACAAATATTCATTATCTTCCATTGAGCTACTTCTTCATGTAAAGCAAAACTGCAGGCTACACACTTGAACACTTACCAGGTTTTTGAAAAGGGCCGTCAATTCCTTTGTAAACACTGAGAACTTCAGGAACGCACTTCCTAAGTCTGGGTCATCTCTGCACACACAGTTGCCACCAAACTTCTCCAGTGCTTGGGTGTACTGCTCTTCATTCTCCACATGAGCTACAACAGCAGCATGAGATGCACTGTTAATGCACAGGGCAAACACTTGACTCCCACAGCCCACCATGTGTCCCTTAGTTGTGAATAAAATCTAACACATTAGCAGAATACAAATCTGAGAAAAGTCAAATAGAAATAATTTTGCTATCTAAAAAGAACCCTTTGGGCCAGCAATAGATACTGAAGGAAAAGCCTGCATTAAGTTTTCAACACATCAGGTGAGACCCCAAGGATATGCCAATGCATCCAGACCTTCTATGACTTCTCATTTGCTTAACTGATAGCAGAAATCACAAGTCAACAGACTCAAGCCTTGTCCAGAATCTCTTCTCCAGCCTGGCGCCTGTTACACTAATTGCTGGCCATAGGCCACAGCTTTCTCTTTCCAAAACAGGAACAACCGTAGCCCTCACAGCACAGGCCAGGGCAGGAAAGGGCAAGTGAGTAGGTCCATATGCACGATACGTCCTCGGCTCTCAACCACCTGATTCCATGCATTCTAGACTCATCTTTCCTCTGGGAAGCCTTCCAAGGCTCCACCCAGTGTCCTGAGCCTGTGGGTTTGGCACCTCTCCTACCCTAGCACTTAGTTATATCAGACTGAAATTGTCTGGTACATGTGTTCCTGAGTATATCAGAAGCTCTTTGTGGACACCAGTTACCAAGTGCCACTGAGTCAGTTCCTACTATTGATAACCCCATGTGTGCAGAACAGAACTTTGTTCTATTGGGTTTTCAAGGCTGTTCTTCTGAGGTGCCTCTGAAGGTGTCTGAACTATCAAATTTAGCTCTAGAGGCCTAGTGGTAAGAAGTTGTACTGCAATTCTGAAGACCTGTATTTGAAGGATGGGCAATCTCCTCCTATGTGCTTAACTGCCTCTGAAAACCCACTGGAGGGTCAACTATGGGTCGGTTCTGACTCGACAGCACACAAAAATGACAACAGTAAACCATGTGAAGTATTTAACCTAGGGATTTGTCTTACAGAGTAGGGATTAAGTTTTACTCATATGTGTGCCTAAAATTAAGATATATACAACACAAGCTACTTGAACAGTAATGGAGTCATCATCTGGTGGTTATCTGAGGACATTTTTATTGTCATGAGGCCTCAAAGCAGCGCCTAAAATAGTGAATACCTGGATTCCAGGTTCCTATCTCAGTGGTTCTCATTTCCTGTTGGATAACAAAATGATACAGCAATCTTTAACTATTGAAGCCAGAGAGTCTCCTATCAGACCTGTCATAATGAAACGAAGGATAAGGAACACAGGTAATTCTGATAGATTATTGGAGTAAAATAGATTTCTCCACCGCCAGGTCAAGAGTTCTCAAATGAATTCAGCCTATCTGTAAGAAAACAATTTCTGTTTCCATGGATACCAGTTTTTAACTTGATTTCAATTAGAAATCTAGCACAACTACTTCACAGGCATGCCAAGGCAGACAGATAGAAGCTTCTGAGGAGAGGCGTCCATGAGGAGAGCTCTAGGAAAGCAAGCGCTGGTGCTGCACAGCTCCCCCAGAGAAAACAGATCCCGAAAATCTCCTTGTAGGAGCAAAAATTCTTCCTCAGAAAAGCAGAGCAGTGTCATTAAAGGCCAATGTCTGTGTTGGGTCTGACAAATGGGGCAAATAATGGAAGGTTTGTTTCTGGAGGGCAAGCTTCGACCATGGATCTGATGATCTCTGTGACCCATGGACGCTGCACCCACCCAAGCACCAGGGAATTCCTTTGCCCTTGACCTCCAGTGGCATCTGGGTGCTGCAGGGGATTCCAATGTGGATCTAGGAAACACATGAGAAATTACATTGTTTGAGTGCTTTTAAGTGGAAGGGGAAAAGGCTTGAGTGTTCTGGATAAATTAAATGTATTTCTGAGACTGTAATGCAATAAAAAGGACAGAAATACAAGTGCACTTTCTCTCTCTCTCACACACACACACAAACACACACAGAGAGAGAGAGAGAGAGAGAGGCAGCTCCTGAAGATTATGTTTGGCAGAGAGAACAGAGTCCTCACAGGATGTAGGGCCCAGTCTTGTTTCTGTATATATCATATATCTGTATGATCTTTGGAAGTTATCTACTCTCAGTGAGCCTTACTGTCTTAACAGCATGAAGGATAAAGACCTGTTAGGAGATTCTCATAGGATTAAGGGAAGGATCAAAGAATAAGGTAAGGACATTCAGTTCTCTCAAAGCAAAACAGAAGTACAAGCAGCAACCGCTATCACTGATAGGAGCACAAACAAGTTTCTTTAAACTACAACTTTGCAAGCTATGTATTCTCATCCAGCATAAAATTAAGGCTCAGAGGGATCAGTAATGAGTGCAGTTTCAAATCCAAGAGTGTCTGATTTCCTTCTCCTCTACTACACTAGTGCTTATTTCATAGCTAAGAGTAGCTTATCTTGGCAAACAAAAAGTACCTAATTTTTAGATTTTGTAAAAAAATCCCATTGTTCAGATAGATCAATATTTCTTTTTCTGTAGCTTTATTTATAATTCTAGAAGATGAGGTACACGTGGAAGAACAGTTCTTTTCAGACCACAGCTTTTAAAAAACTGGTGGTCAAGACACAGACAACTCTAGCCTGGTTTGTAGAAGGAAGCTATCTTCGTTACCTGGTGCTGCTGTAACAGAATGACTATAACAGAATGGCTTTCATGAATAAAGTTCATTTTCCCAAAGTGGAGTGAGCTGTGAGAAGTCCAAATCCAGGGAGGCTTTCTACTGGTTCTAGAAAAAGACCCTTTTCCTTTCTGAGCTTCGGCTCCCAGGCAATCTTCATGTGCTTTGACACGTGTGCCCTTCCATCTCTTCCTCTTGCTCAATTTCATTTACATCTCAACAATTCTGTCATTTGATCTCTGGGATTGTTTATATCACTACGACCACATTATCCAACCTTCAATCTTTGTTTTCAACTTTTGCATTTCAATCTCTAAATCAATGCATCTTGACTGCCTGTCTGATTTCAGACTGTAGAAGTTAGTAAAAATCTCCCCCTCCCTGATACTTAGCATTAGTCACTGGTGAGTAAGTCTGAACAACAGTCACATTAATTCCCTTATCAGTATATGGATATTATTCTATAACTTACAGCACTGCATTCAGAAGAGATTCTGAAATATTCTTTTTGATGATGAATGTGATAGCATTCCTCTTCAGCTGGTCAATTCTGGCATAGTAGACCATATGCCCAACCTAAAATGATCAATACTAGTCTATTTCAGCCCATAATGCCTAGGGTGTTGACCTTCATGATTCTATTTCATTTTCTACCTATTCAGCACATACACTGGAAATATCTTCAACACATTAGCAAGCAAGGAAGCAAATTTGAAGACCAAGGTGCACCTAACACAAGCCATGGCATTTTCAAGTGCCTTGTATGCATGTGAAAACTGGGCAAAGAACTGATGTCTTTGAACTATGATGGCTGACACACACAAAAAAAATAATAAATATGTCACAGATTGATAGAAGAACAAAGAAATCTGTCTTGGAAGAAAGGCAGTCAGAGTGAGCCTTAGAAGTGAGGACTGTTGTTAAGCGCCATCGAGCTGACCACAACTCATGGTGACCTGATGAACAATCAATCTGAAACCCGCCCTATCCTGTTTCATCCTCATCGTCTCTGACACTCCAGTCCACTGTTACAATCACTGTGTCGATGCATCCGGTTGAGGGTCTTACCCTCCTTTGCTGACCCTCCACTTTTCCAAGCATGGTGTTCTTTTCCAAGGCCTGGTTCTTCCTACTGAGAACAGTGAGCCTTCATCTCGCATACTTTGGACATGCTACCAGAAGGAAGCAGAATCTGGAGAAAGGAAACCATGCTTGGGAAAGCAGAGTGCCAGCGACGGAGAAGATCATCTTCAAAGAAAGGGACTGACACAGGGGCAACAACTATGGGGTCAAACATAACATTGACTGTGTTGAATGGCAAAAGCCAGGGCAGTGTTTCATTCTGTTGTTCAAAGGGTCATTATGATCCTACTCAATGGCACCTAACAACAGCAGATATCATAAGAGATTGACTCAAGACATGTTGTTTGTTGTTGTTATGTGCCGTCGAGTCGCTTGCGACTCATAGCAACCCTATGTACAACAGTCCTAAACTCTGCTCTGTCCTGTGCCAATCGCACTGTCTCTGACACTCCCATCCCGATTATCCCAGTCACTGAATCAATCCACCTCAAAGACATACTGTATATTAATCAAGTCTCATTAACATACCAGAATAGTCATAAATAAAATCATAAGCATTAGTATTTAAAATATATTCCAGGCAATACAGTTCAATGCATAACAGGAGGTGACAGCCATAAGCAGATGTCTGGTGCTGATACCATTCAGCTGGGTTATAGAAACAGAGGAACGCAGACTCCACACTTCTGCATTTCCCTTTGCTCTGCTCACTGGGCCATCAGGCTTCCCAGTGACACTAACTGAGAGGTACTCTGGCTCTGATGGTTTCCTTCATGGTGAGGACTGAGATGCTGTGAATGCAGAAGTCCAATATGGACTCACAAGAGACCTGGGACTTCACAGAAACACCACAGTCCACATATTTCCTCTACATGAACACTCAAAGGGAAGGGGAAGGGGAGGAACATTAAATGGTCCTTCTTATTGTGACCATGTTGGAACCATGAAAGAAGAGACAGAGAATTGTCCAGTCTTGCCATCTCCATGATGCCTTGTGGATCAGACTGCTATAGGAGTTACAGGATATTCACCGATTGAATTTTGGAAGCAAATTGTGAGTCCTTCTCTCTAGTCTGTCTCAAAACTCAAACTCATTGCTGGGCTTCTGAGGCTGTAAATCACAACAGGAAGTGATTGTCCATCTTCCGTTTCCCTCAGAAGAGCTGTTAGTGGATTCAAATCACCAAAGACTCTTAGCCTTTAGGTCAGCTGCACAATTTCCAATGGACTACACCAGTACGAGAAATGCCTTTTGTTAGATGCCATCGAGTCGAGTATGACT